CTCTATGAACTGCAACACTCAGGCTCTCTGACCTTCTGAACAGGAGCCACATTAGGCTTGGGAAAATGAGAAACCTTGGCAGAGTTTCCATGGGAAGGCTTCATAGGAGGTGTTTCATGGGTACTGGTAAGCCTCATTCACAAAAGAACAGGGAGCACAAGCTAAAATGGATTCTTATTTATGAATTCAGAATAAAGTAGTATAAGAAGATCGCTATGATTTGACTATATTGTGGAACTTTGTTGACTTTTCCTTGTTTTTTCTATAATACAATAAATAAGACTTATTGTGGATAATAATAAGGAAAAAAATGGCTTTCCCAGCCCATTCAAATCCACTGTATATGGACATGAATTGTTAGATATCTACTGCATATTAAAATGTATACAATACTATCATCCTTAAGTCAAAAATAATGTTATTTCCATAGTTGTCTATCCCAATTAAATTTTTTAAATTATCCAAGTATTTTCTAAGTTAATACTTCTCACAGTATTCCTTAAATCAGATCTGCCATAGGTTTGCTAGCTATGATGGGAACTCATCAGGAATGGTTGACTTTTTCAATCTATTTTATCAGTTTTTCTCTGCCAACCTCCACATAAGTATTATTGCATCAACCTTGGAGAAAAGGAGGATAGTGAAACACCATGTCCCTGAAATGCCCCTTACCATTCCCAAGAACCTAACCAAGTTAAGGGGGAAGGGGAGCAAGTATGGGCCAGAATATTTAGATAAACTTTATTTTGAAGGGCACTGACTTTTTCTCACGTTTGCTGGGAGTTAGAAAAAGTTCATTTTATCTTAAAAAAAAAAAAAAAAAAAAAAAAAAAAAAACCTCTTCTTTTGCATGCACACCAAGTTCCTTGGGTTGTTATTCATACAATGGGACAAAGAAAGCTAAGCAAATGATGTCACTGGTTTTGTAACTTAGGAATCAAAGCTATAAACCCCACCTCTCTGTGGTAACTGGTGCAGAACAAAGCATCATGGACAGGGAGGTGTTCATCACTGGACATGGGGGAGGGGATGGAGGCTCTATTTCCTGGTGAAGGATTAGAGGTACCATGTGAAATAGAGATGCACCTCTTCAGCCTTTTGCCACTGCACTTTCTGGCAAAGCACTTGTCCAGTTGGTCATCATCAAAATTTATGATGAATCATCTTTCTAACCCACCGGTACTACATCTTCCCGATAAGCATTTTCAATATTAACATTATGCTTCGCATCCCATCTTTTGGTATCTGCTTTTATCTCTTGGCAACCTATGTCATGTCTAACCCAAATAGGCCATAGATGATACAATTACAAAGCTCTTTGAGTAGTTGTTCTGAAATAAGCCTTTTTCTATAGCCATCAGATGAGAAACAAATTCAATTCCCTATCCCTCCACATGTACAGATGAGGTAGGGAGAATATGCAAAGTTTATTGACAACTTTCTCTAAAGTATCCTTTTCTGACTTCCAACTTCTGACCATTTTATATCTTTGGTGTGAACTAAGGGTTATTTATTCATTAGCAATCACAGGTCCAGTTGGCTTTTTTTTTTCCCACCTTCTTTGCAGATCTTATATGGTGGCCTTGCCCCTTAATTTTAAATATGCTACTTATTGCTTGAGGCATAATCTAAAATAGACAAAATATTTCAAATAAAATCCTATGGTGATTTAATTATTACGTATATATTAAGGGTCTGTTAAGTATAAGATACTGATGTACTAGAAATACTACCATAATTAGATACAATTATTATCCTTGAAGAAATCAGAATCTAGGAGAGGCAACAGACACATCATGACCAATCACTATACTGTGCTCTGTTGGCAAGCTCTGTGCACTTTGGCAGATAACAGAAATACCCAACACACTGGGAATGGAGTGGGAGAATATATCCCAGAGAGGTGTTGCTTGGCTGAGTTCTAAATGAGTAAGAATTAGCAATGTAAAGAAAAGGAAAAAACAATTCAGAAAAGAGAAAAGAAAGTAAAAAATGATGCAAATAAAAAATATGGAGTTATAAAACACAAACTAAAGAACTGTAGGAATGTGCACATGATTGGTGGAATGAAGATGGGAATGGTAAGACATGGGAGCAGTAGACAGATCATGAAGGGTCTTGTATGAAGAACTTTACTATAGAGATAATAGAAAATAATTGAAGGGTTTTAGCAGGGTTTGTTTTTTTGTTGTTGTTGGGTTTTTTGTTTGTTTTTTGTTTTGTTTTTTTTGTACTGGGGGATTGAACCCAAGGGTGTTTAACCATGTCCCAGCCCATTTTGTTGTTGTTTTATTTTGGTTGTTTGTTTGTTTTGTTTTGTTTGAGATAGGGTCTTTCTAAGTTGTTTAAGGCCTTGCTAAATTCTTTAGGCTGCTTTGAACTTGTGATCCTCCTGTCTCAGCCATCCGAGCTACTGGGTTACAAGTGTGAGCTACTGCATCCAGCTAGCATGGAAATTTTCATTTTAGAAATCTCTCTGAGAAATAAAGGTGAAGTTTCTATGGATAATATAACAGTTTAATAATAGGAATGGGTGCTTCCACTCTCTGGTTCTAAATCAAAGTTAAGTTACTTTTCTACACACAATGTAAGTTCTGAATTCAAGCCTTAAGTCTGAAGAACTAGAAAAACAAATTTAATTTTGATTTACACAATGATCATACATCAGAAAATAGGAAAAGTATGACTCCAGCATCAGTTCCACAGGTATTCAAAGAGAAAGTTCCAAATTGCCAGGGACATTCATCTCTGAGATGCTTTATAACACATTTGGATGGTGGAAGAAGTCTTTTGCAGGACTGTTTTTGGTCCCTATTGTTAGGAACAAGCAGTGAAATGGGAACCAATTATATAGCAGGGTCACCGAGTTTCTTTGAAATTGTCTTTAGTGTACAAACAACCTGTAGAAAACAATTGATATACTAACCCTGAGAATAAGCAGGTGGAAACAATGGGAGTCAATTAAGAAATATCCCATCTATGCATGACATATCAAAGTGCATAAATGCATTCTACTGTCATATATAACTAATTAAAACAAATAAAAAAAATTAATCAAAATACCAGAACTTGAGACCACTACATACCCTCCAGTACCATTAAAATGAAATAGACTGACAACCTTTCAGCTTTGGAGAAATGTGGAGCAACTGAAACTTTTATAGATTATGGTGATGATGTAAAATTGTACAACTACTTTGAAAAACAGGTTGGAAATTTCGTATAAACATAAACTTACTCTAGGATCCAGAATTTCTACTTCTATACCAGTCATAGCAGCTTTATTTATAATATCGCAAACAGGGAATAACCTAAATGTTTATCAACAGGTGAGTAGATAAAGCAATTTCAGAATCTCCATAAAATAGATTTTTTAAGCAATAAAAAGAAAAACTACTGATACATGCAATGGAATTATAAATCTCAAAAACATGGTGAGACAAGAAGCCAGGTGCCAAAGAGTACATAGCATATTAGTTCATTTACATGAAACACAAGAAAGGCAAATCTAATACACTGTTACAGAAAGTAGATCAGTTGTTAGTTGGGCTGGGGTGGGGAGTTAACTGGGAGAGGACTTTTCAGGGTGATAAAAGGGTCTACATCTGATGGTAGTTCCATGGGTGTAATTTGTCAAAATTCATAGAGATGTACACTTAAAATTGGTGCATTTATTGTAGAAAAGAAATACCTTGGGGCTGGGATTGTAACTCGGAGGGAGAGCTTTCATCTCGAATTCATGAGGCACTGGGTTCAATGCTCAGCACCACATAAAAAATGAAATAAAGATATTGTGTCCACCTATAACTGAAAAAATAAATATTAAAAAAAAAGAAATGCCTTCATGAAGTTGATTTAGAAAAGAGTATTTGTTTTGTGGAAAGTAATCAACCCTCGTCATCCCCAATGTAAGCAATATGGAAAAGTACAAGGGAAATAAAACCCACCAGAATATTAAAACAAAAAAAAAAAGAAAGAAAAAAAATACATCAAGAAAGCAAGATCAATAGGACTAACCCTTGACAGGATCTACCAAGGTCATTATAAAGTCAGGATTTATGGCTTTGTTTCTCGATATATTTTAGAAGAGAAATTTTTTTAGTAGCCCAGGTTCACTAAGGTAAATTTTGTCTGGCTGCTGACCCCAATATCCACATTAAGAGGATTAACTTGTAGATGAAGCCCCCCTGAATAAGATGGCCACCATGAAAATTTCAGACAAAGCTGAGGTCAAAACTTCCCCTACCCAACGTAAAGAAATTGAACCCCTGATTGGAGAGGACTGCAGAAGGTGAAACGTCAAACAGCAATCAGGAAGTGGCATTGTTTCCTTTGTAGTTCTCTACTCAGAGATGACCCACTCTCTCTTTGTGAGAGTGCTTTTTGCTTGAGCCATACTTTATTTTCACTTACAATAAAGTTTTCTTGCTTGAATTTTTGTAATTTTCTTTCATAAGAACACAAGAACTGAGGCTTGGAGCTGCATCTCTCCACCTCCCTGTGACACCATGACCAGAGGCATCGCATAGCCTTTTCTCTTCTGAGTCTTACAGCCAGCATTACAAAAAAAACAGGGTACATAAAGAGAAAAAAGGGGGGGTACATAATTCACTTTGGTGGAACTGTCACATCTCTTTTTACCTCCCTCTCCCTCTGCTTTCCCTATGGGTGAATCTTTCTTTGGTCTTGGAAATATAATTCCTGTTTCTTCAACACAATTTATTCTATGGTAGCCCATGTGCTAAACTTACGTTAAAATGTCCTGTTTTATGCTCTCCCCAAGGCTGTTATTCACAGATGCAACAAGATATTTGAATGTAGGTAAGAAATGGACTGGGTGAAATGCTAGATAACCTAAGTTAATATCTCAAACTGTTATCAAATCACATGCTCAGAGGAAGGGCTGCAAGGAAAACAGGCCAGGGCCTGCCTAATTAACACTCCTTAAATACCCTGATGTTTGGGGGAGATTTGGCCATAGCCACCCAGTGCTGCTGGGAACTGAATCCTGAATCAAGGAGTACAAAAAGAATGCAGAACACACCAGGAAGCAGAGGACTCCTCCAGGCCAGGGCAGCAGTGGAGTCTCAGTCTCCAGGGAGATGGAACACTTGCCAGGACAGTGAGACCCTCCTTGCTGGGCAGGTGAAAGCAGCAGCTGCTAGGACAGAACCCTTTCAGAGCAGGTGGGTGGGACAGTATATTACTTAGCAGGTGTGTCATGACATCTAGTCCAAAGACAGGTTTAAAAAAAAAAAAGTCAGGTTTCTCACTTTTAGTGATGGCCTATGTTAGTTAATCTACACAGCCACTGCTCAGGGTAGTTGGGCCAGGTGTGTTTCTGGTGTCTACTACCCCAGGGACCTCAGAGACCCAGAAACATCAACACTGTCTAAGGGATAATACTAGGATTTTTTTTAAGCCCTCAGGTAAAGAATGGGGAATATTTTCTCTCTCTTTTTTTTTTTACTTTATTAGTTCTTTGTAGTTATACATGACAGTAAAATCCATTTTGACATAATTATATAAGCATGGAATGTATCTTATTCTAATTCAGTCCCAAGTACCTCTCCTTCCCCTTCTCTCCCCCCACACGCTGTTCTCTTCTCTTTATTGATCTTTCTGCCACTTACCCATAGTTATTTTTTTAATTAATTTCTTGTGGATGTACACAATGGTGAGATTCACTGTGGTATATTCATGTATTTTTTTTACATAGGAAAATTATGTCAGATTCATTCCTGAATTCCACTGTCTTTCCTTTTCCAATCCTCCCCTTTGTCTACTCCACTGAACTTCTATTCTTTTTTGTATTCTTCCCCCTCCACTTATTGTGGGTTAGCTTCCACATATCAGAGAAAACATTCAACCTTTGGTTTTTTAGATATTTTTACCCTGAATTGGTGCTTCTTCCTGATAACTACCTTATACAAAAGGTCCAAATCAACAATACCAAGGAACCTTCCGACATCTCTCTCCCTAAGGAAGACATTTTTTATGTAATTTTTTTTATTTATATATGACAGTAGAATGCATTATAATTCTTATTACATATATAGAGCACAATTTTTCATATCTGTGGTTGTATACATAGTATATTCATATCAATTCGTGTCTTCATACATGTACTTTGGATAATGATGTCCATTTCATTCCACCATCATTATTAACCCCCTGACCCCTCCCTGTCCCTCCCACCCATCTGCCCCATCTAGAGTTCTTCTATTCCTTCCATGCTCTGCTCCCTATCCCACTATGAATCAGCCTCCTTACATCAAAGAAAACATTCAGCATTTGTTTTTTGGGGATTGGCTAACTTCACTTAGCATTATCTTCTCCAACGTTATCCATTTGCCTGCAAATGCCATGATTTTATTCTCTTTTATTGCTGCATAAAATTCCATTGTGTATATATGCCACATTTTTTTATCCATTCATCTATTGAGGGGCATCTAGGTTGGTTCCACAGTTTAGCTATTATGAATTGTGCTGTTATAAACATTGATGTGGCTGTCCCTGTAGCATGCTGTTTTTAAGTCCTTTGGGTATAGACCAAAGAGAGGGATAACTGGGTCAAATGGGGGTTCCATTCCCAATTTTCCAAGAAATCTTCATACCAATTTCCATATTGGCTATACCAATTTGCAGTCCTACCAGCAGTGGATGAGTGTACCTTTTTCCCCACATCCTCGCTAACACTTATTGTTGTTTGTATGCATAATAGCTGCCATTCTGACTGGAGTGAGATGAAATCTTAGAGTGGTTTTAATTTGCATTTCTCTAATTGCTAGTGATGATGAACATTTTTTCATGTATTTGTTAATTGATTGTACATCATCTTCTGAGAAGTGTCTCTTCAGGTCTTTGGCCCATTTATTGATTGGGTTATTTGTTTTGTTTGTTTGTTTGTTTGTTTGTTTTGGTATTTAGCTTTTTGAGTTCTTTATATATCCTAGTGATTAGTGCTCTGTCTGATGTGTGAGGGGTAAAGATTTGCTCCCAAGATGTAGGCTATCTATTCAGTTAAGGAAGACATTTTTAAAAGAATCCCTTCTGTAAAGCTTCCCACTACAAGAAAAATAAAAGCTAACCTTTGTTGAATACTGATTAAGAGAACATCAGTATGTTAAGTGGTTTACCTAGTTATTTCATTTAATTTTTAGTCAGCCGTAGGAGTTCAGTATTATTATTCTCATTTCAAAAACAAGAAGACAGAGACTGATAGTTTCAGTAATCTAACTGAACTAGCAAGTGATCTCATTGGAATTTAAGTATGGATCAGTATGAATCCAATTCCTGCTCTTACCCACTAGCTAGATGGGAAAAATCTTAAATCCCAACATTGGACTTGATTTAATATGTAAAGAAGTGTAATTGACAAAGTTTTAAAATAAGGATAACACCTCTAACTATACCCATTCCCCACCTTCCTGTAGATAGTAAGTAACTAGGCGTGGGCTGGTAACACCTGTGGAGCTGATATCTCCACATATCTCATTTTTCAGTCACATTTTTTTTTTAAAGCAAACTGGTTTTCTCAGTTTACAAACTGCCTCCATAAAGAGGGAAATTTCTACCTGCAAGAACAACCTTCCCTCCCCTGGTGTGACTGAACTGAAAGAAGACCCAGGATTCATTCTGGTGAGTATCCCCTTCCCACAGGGGGCCACAGTGAGGTTAGAGTCCCCTCTTATCCATATGAGAAGGGAACACGGGTGCCTAGAGAGACCTTCTTTTTCTCCTATAGTATGCCAGAAAGTCTTCTTGTTCCTGGTCTTTGCTTTCCTTTTCTATTTCAGTTTCTTCTTTCTCTTCTTTGTCTCTCCTACCCAGCCCCACCTTCTGTCTCCCCTTTTGTATCTCCTCATCATTCTCCATTGCTTTATTGCTCTTCCTCTGCCTTTCTTGTGTCACTGTGCCTTTCTTTCTGTCTTCTTTGTCTTTTAAGTAAGATCCTGCTTTAAACATATGGTTTAGAGTTATTTGTTCAAATTTAGGAAGCTTTGAGAGAATCCTCATCAAGGGCACCAAGGCTGGCCTATTCCTGGTGATATGAATGGTGTGGGGAGGACACAAAGACCAAAGTGCACCTGCAGCTTGGGTCAGCCTAAACTCATGGTGGATTAGTCAATGTGAATTAAACGAGGGGTCTCTGGATAGGCTCAAAAACTAGATCTAAGTCCTGGTTCAGCTGCTAGTATGTGCAAAACAGGCTGGTCACAGCCTGCTCCTAGATTTCTAATCTCTAAAATGGAGGCTGGACTATGCAATCTGTAAGGTAATTTCCCATCAGTCAAAATCTCCTAAAGAATGTAAAATCTCATCTGCCTGCCAATTTGCTGGAGCCTTATCCCACTTTAGGTGGTCACTGTTACTGGAACCAAAAACAAAATGAAAAAAAAATTACTGCTCCTGTCATCAGGATGCAAGTCCTAAGGAAATCCCCTAAAAGGGAGATGGACCTCAACTTGAGCTGTGAGGACCCTTGATATCATTGCAGAAAGGAATTTAAGGACAGAGCAAAGTAAGATGCAGATTGATTTTTATTGAGAGACAGTAAGAAGTACATACTCTAAGAGACACAGTAGAATGCAGGTGTTGGAAAGGAATGTGCTAGCTATATCTCAGGCATGTTTAGGCATGTAAATCTATAGTACAGGGATATGATCAAAGAGGGGTTTTTTAGTGCCCCTTTGGATTGGTAACTGACTCATTGACCACCAATGGAATGGTGATAATTTTCTTTTCTTTTTTGGTTTTTAAAGGCTATGCTTTGTGAATTTAAACAGTACTACATTGGTGTCCTTATGGATAAGGTCTAATAATTGCCTAAATAGTGTTGTTCGTGATCAAGGTAGGTGAAAGTGACCTTTATATCTGGAAATATAATCCATATAAAAATGGACTTTAAATCTTGGCTAGTCTTGTTTAGTCCTGCATGCTTTCTTTCTACCTATCCTGATACCTTCTGTCCTAGTTTACTCTCACCACATTCCACTGTGCCCTTTACCTATATCCATCTTCATCCTAAAGTTCATGAGTCAGATTCTGTGCCCATGTCCCCCACAAGACACTGAACACTTTTAATATTAACTTTTGAATCCCTAGTATATAGCCCCTGACAGATGTAATGTGAAACAAAAATCACAAACAAGCCAGGCACAATGGGGCATGCCTGAAATCCCAGCAACTTGAGAGGCTGAAGCAGAAGGTTCACAAATTGAAGGCCAGCCTCAGCAATTTAGCAAGACCCTAAGCAATTTAGTGAGACCCTGTCTTAAAATAAAAGCCAAAGAAAAGGGGGCTGAGCATATGGCTTATTGTTAAAACACCTCTGGGTTCAATCTCCAGTACAAAAAAAATTAAAAATCACAGAGATAGTTTTCTTCTGGTGCAGAACAAACATAAAAACTGAGATTTCAGGTTAGAAACCCTGCCCAGACATTGGAAGGATTAACAGATTGATAGCCCTTTCTCAATTCCATGGATGATGATACATGGACCTTCTTAGTTGATGGAGCAATCTACCTGGTTAACTCCCATAACAATTGAGACTCTAGCATGTTAACTACTTATGCAACCCCCACAAGCAGACTGCGTCCTCTAACTTCTTACAGGGACAAATGGCATCCAGCCATCTGAGACTGAGCAATAAAATGTCCTTGATGCCCTTGCTGTTCTATTTTGCTGATTTTGGAACTGAGGCCATTATTGAGAGGGATTGCAGAGTGGGATGGAGAACATTCTTATTATGCCACTAGAGTGAAATTCTTGGGCCCCCACCAAACAGATCAGAGCAAAAGCATTTGCCAAGGTTTGTTTTAACTAAACAAGAACCAAATTTGGAGGTTTCAAGATGATCAGATAGGTCCTAGTTTCCACCACCAACTATGCCTGATGATTTTACTTCATATGCTTCTAAATTTTGTTGTCTACAAATGTTGTACTTGTCTTTCCAACTTCTGTAAGAGGGGAACAAAACCTCTGCCAGTATGTTTGCCCAATGATTCATATTGACTCCTTGCAGTTCTCCAGACCAAAAAAAAAAAAATGAAACTTAATTGCTGTGTTTGTACTTATGCCATTTGTGTATCTGTTGGCATCCCTAGAACTGTTCAAACCAAAAAGCGTTGCTCCAATTTGGCCCTGTCTTTCAAATACCTTTTCCTGCATGCCTCTTAGGATCACTGGACACAACTTCCTGGAAATGAACTTTCCCAGCACCATCAAATTTCCCCTGAACAATGGGGAACACTGACTCCTGAACTACATTCTTTAATATGGTCTTCATCCAGTGAAGATTGCTTTGTTGGTGGAGCAATCTGCCTGGTTAAACATCTTTAGACACTAGATGAAAAGGGGAAAATGATAGATTAAAAGTCAGAATGGCTGCAGAATGGCCAAAGACAAAACAAAAATCCTTTTGTCAGCTTTAGAGGCTTGCTGACAGGGACAAGTTGCTACACAGACATTGTGTCAAGAACTGAACATAAACAATTTTTGGTACTTTATCAGTGTGCTGAAGATCTGAAAGGATGCCAGAGTGAGCATTCTGTTCTTGGTATAGATATTTCAAAGGACTTGAAAAATTTGTAACCAACCTGATTCACATTAGTTTCTCACCATTGCTCAATCTTTGCTTATCTCCAAAGAATGCTGATGGGGAAATAAATTCTGATATTCCTCTTCATTTTTGTTATAAAAATCTCAGTCCTGCCTCTTTTCATGGGACCATCCACTCAGTTTCCAACCTGAACTTCTGTATTCTGATTTGCAAATCTATTCTGCACCCAAATAAAGCTGCTTTGCTTTTATTTTAACCTCGTTTGTGAATTTTGGCTCATACTAGGATGCTGAAAATTTTTTTTATTTTTTCTTTTTATTATTTTGTAGTTGTAGATGGACAGCATGCCTTTATTTTATTTGTTTATTTTTATGTGGTGTTGAGGATTAAACCCATTGCTTCACACAAGCACTCTGCCACTGCGTTATGGCCCCAGCCTCTGAAAAGTGGCTTTTTATACTTTTAGAATTAATGAATTCAGTGAATGCATAACAATAACTGCTTCATCCTCTAAATTCCTGTACCACACGCTGAAGTAATTGCATTCAAGCTTAATCACATTCATGCTGTACTTAGGTCTGTCATTTTTCATAAATTTCTTAAGGGCAGGAAAGTACTCAATTTATCTTTGATTCTCCATCATCTACTATAGCACCATATAATATATTCAATAAATTATTTTTTAAAAATTAAGTAGTAGAACAAATAAACAAAATAAAATAGAGAATATTACTCCTTGACAGAAACAATCCAGGACTCATTGGAACCTGAGAAGCTGGAGAAGGGGGGAATCTGGAAGTAAAAGAATCTATTTATCACAGTATGAAAGCACTGTATTTCAATATTTAACAATTGATAAGATCATCCTGCAGCCTAATGAATATCAGCTCTGCATATAAAGAGCCCTTAGTTTACTGATCTCTCTTATCACATTTCCTCTATGTGATTGCATTTATTTTTTATGGTAGTGGCTCTTATCATTATGATGATTCCCTAACCTAAATCTTTAGCTCAAAGAGGCCTCCAGAGCACAACTATGTAACCAGTTTAAGAGTTGGTTTCTCCACTATGATGTTGATATGGGAGTTAAAAGCATTGGTTCTAGGGCTGGGGTTACAGCTCACTTTGTAGAATGCCTGCTTTGCATGCACAAGGCCCTGGGTTCAATCCTCAACACCACAAAAAAAAAAAAAAAAAAAAGCATTGGTTCTAGAACCAAGTTGTTACAGAGCCATGGACAAGATAGACCTGATTTATCATGTATAAATTACACATATGATATTACTAATATTTTGTAAGTAATAAATAATACATGTAAAGCACTTAAAAGAAATTACAAAGCATACATGTTAACCATTATATTAAACTCAATGTATGATAACTGAATCGATTGTCTTCCTCTATGCCCAAACCCTGTAGTCCTCCTTCTCAATAAATTACTCAATTATGCACAAACTTAGGAATCACCTTTTTTTATTCAAATGTTGCTTTAATTTTTTTATCTTTTATTGATATTATTTTTTAAATACAAGATAGCAGTGGAATGCATTACAATTCTTATTACACATATAGAGCACAATTTTTCATATCTGTATATAAAGTATGTTCATGACAATTTATGTCTTTATACATGTACTTTGTTTTTGTTTTGTTTTGTTTTTGCATTACAATTCTTAATACACATATATATCACAATTTTTCATATAGGAATCACCTTTAAAGCCTCCTATACTTCTATTTCCACAAATAATTTAAAAGTCCTGCTATTTTAATCCTTTAAATAGTTTTATTTTTATATCTAATCAGTCCCATCTTTGACAGTCATTACTTCCTACTAGTATCAAAATATTAACCTTTGTGGTAATCTTCTACAAATGTATTAAAAAATACTGAAAATATATAAAGAAAACAAAAATAGATTCCTTGGAAACTCAAGGAACCAAGACACAGTCTTCAAGGATCCCACTTTTGTCTCATTCCCTAACTTTTCCTCTTTGGATCCTTCTGTTTAGTCCCCTTTACTGCTTCTTTAAATGTTGGAATGTTACTTAGTGCCAGGGCACTTTTTCTTCTCTCCCATACCTTCTTCCCAAGAGACCTTACAAGTCCCATGCCTTCAAATACTGATGGCTCTCTAATTAGTATCTCCAAATTGGACCTATCCCTTAAAATATACACCCCATATGAGTCTAATCACCATTTTCACTTAACTTTCTACTATATATTGTAACCTAAGTAAGACCCCAATCTGTTCATGTAATAAATCTTGACCATCTAAAATCATGGCACCATCATTAATCTATTTGCTTGTGCCAGAATTCTCTGTATTTGTTTTCAATCACTACATAAAAAATTATCAATTTAGTACCTTAACATACTAAATATTGCCTAATTCATTGTAAGAATTGAATATATTGCTATCATCATCATCATTAATCACCTTTCTAATTAAATTTCATGAATGATGCAAAGTTATTAAATAAATTATGTAAACTATTTTAAAAAATACTAATTAACTATTTTAGTTGGGTCAGGAGTCTAAATATGGGTGGCCTGGATCTTCTATTCAAGATTATAAGAGGCTGCAATATAAGTATCAAAATGCTGCAGTTCTCAACTCAAGTTCAAGGTCATCTTCCAAAATCATTTAAATTATTATAATAATTCGGTTTTTTGTACCTATAGGACTGAGATCCTTATTTTCTTACTGGCTGTTAGCCTCAGGTCAGTCTCACTCCCCAGAGGCTGCCTGAAGTTCCTTAACATGTGACCCATGCAGGCAGTTTACAACATGCTTCCTTCTACATAAACAGAAGTCCACCTGCTGCTGCTTCTTATCTCTTTTAAGAGCATAGCTTATTAAGTAAAGCCTCCCAGTAAAACTTTCCCTTTGTCATCAAAGGTAACATAATCACAGAAGTGATGTCTGGTCATATTTATGGATTCTGCTCACATTAAAGAGAAAAAGATGATACACAGTATGTATACCAGGGGGTGAGAATCCTGGGGAACATCTTAGACTCCTGTCTACTACATTATTCTTTAATTTGCACTTTCCTTTATATCCCATAACCAAACCATCAATAATTCTGGCTGGTAATGCTTACAATGTAAAACCTAAATATGACCATTGTTCATTATTTCCTTACTATACTCTCAGTCCAATTTGCCATTATTTTTGGACCTTTACAATGCTTTCTTAATGTTTACCAGTATTCTTTCCATATTTCAGTGTTCTTTGATTGCTTCCCATTACATAGAACCAAACCCTAAATCCTTACATGACCTAA